ACTCGACAACTGGATACTCACCATATCAGTTATTATTTGGCAGAGAACCGAGATTACCAACGGATAAACCTGCATCAGCATTCACATTTCGGAAGCCGAACGATTATTATGAACAATTGAGAAAAAATGTGAAGTTAATGCATCGATACGCACATGAAAACATGACAAACAGACAAAATCAATATAAAAAACATTATGACAAGCATCGATCCGATCCTAGATATTCAATCAATGATCGTGTTTTGATTCGGAAACATGGTTTGAAGAACAAGCTAGATCCGAAATATTCAGTCACTCCTCAAATTATCGTTCGTGAGGAACATCCTGTTTATATTGTGAAAGACGAAATAACTCAGAGTGAAACGCGCGTACACATAAATGATATAAGACCCATTTATGTTCAAAACCGAACGAATCGATTGAAAGAACAGAACAAACATTAACAACAACAACAACAATTTACCAATATTCTTAGTATTATTTTTATCAATATTCTTACGAAGATCTCCTTATCAACGATCCTATTAATATCGTTAATAATTAACATTCATTGATAAATATTTCTTATTGATTTCGGACATGATTCGGATGAACAATATTTATGTTTAGTTATCTTAGATGTATGCGCAACAGCTAAGATAATGGAATATTTATATTTCATGATTTAGATTCATTGATCGTTTGAAATGTGCACGTCAAAATGATCAGTATGAAATCAGACCTAAATGTGAAAATCAATAACGAAAATCAATAACAAAAAAAAATTAAAAAAAAATCAATTCGATTCGAATAAAGCAGAAGACAACAACGAAGAAATAAATTATCGAAGGAAACTCTCCTTCTATAGGAGAGATGTTTCCGATGGAGAACCAATCGAAATTATCGTTCAATGTTCATGGCACACGATGACATCTATGATCACAATGGATGAATTTTGTTTACAAATACGATGACCACTGGTCATTGACCAAAAATTTTGACCAATCAAAGATTGGCCAATTGTTTATCATCCTGCACGATCGATCGAATTAACAGAATGTTGTGTACTAATTCGAATTCTTGTTTACCAAATATCGATGAATTCGGACAGAAATGTTTATTTATGTTTATTTGGACACTTTTCGGATTGTTTATCTCTTTGTATTGTATTTTTCCATAAGCATACACACCTGTTCTCGCCTAGATCATTTCAATCGTTATCAACAGCAATTCCCGTTTCGTCTGATCCTGATCGTCACCAACAATTCTCATTTCGTCTGATTCTGATCATTATCAACCATTCCTGATTCATTCGAACATTATCATGTCTGACTCACATCGTCACCATTTATCAACACACCATCATCGATCGTCATCTCACCGTACAACATCATCATCATCTCATCATACAGCATCATCATCGTCTCATCACACAGCATCATCATCATCTCACCGTACAACATCATCATCATCTCATCACACAGCATCATCATCATCTCATCGATCACCATCACATTCATCACGACAAACAAATGTTAAATCGAAACACAATCGTGAAGTGCATGATGAATATCCGCCATTTCACATTCCTTCGTCAACCTATGAACTTCGAATCGTAAACAGTGACACACCAATGGACATCATTGACGAAATGTTAATCCACGTGAACCAAGTCAAACAATATTCAATCGATACGGAGTCGGAAAAGGATAACAATGAATTATGCTTAATTCAGATTAATTCAATGCCAGTGGAATCAAAATCGATGGTGATATTAATCGAACTGAAAAACTTACCAAGTCAACGCTCGATAAGGTATGAAAAAATTGGTTCTTTAGTCCGATTAGTTTTTAGGGTGAACAATGAGATTTACGGATGGGGTAACATACGTAAAGAACTCGAACCGGAGTCGGAGTTAATTGGTCGATCAATTCATGCGAAATTAATCGACATACAACCACATTTCTCAACATGGTATAATGGGGCACGGGCCCAGTGCTGGGTCCAGAGCCCGTCGTATCGAATCAACATTACCAAGGAAGGAATTAGAATCATGCAACAGCTCAATCAAGATTCTTCCTGTCGTTGTCATTCACCATCACCATACAAACCCAATGAACTATGGTCACTTCAGAACGCACTGAAGTATGCATGCAAATTACATCTCGATAAAACTTATCGATTAAGTCATTGGTCAGCAAGTTTAACGTCCAATCGTTCGAGATTATCGTATACGGATCAAAGGAAAATGGTCAAATACGCGGTACACGATGTTTTGGCCGTAACATTTTTATTACGACCAATTATGGAAAATTGGACATTCAATATGATCGAGACCAGAAACATGAAGGACGTGTTCGTGGCATTTGAATCAATTGAACTTGCCCAATTGCAAACGACAATAAAAAAGAAGAAGAAGAAAAACATCGATGTACAGAAATTAGCAAGGATATTCGCAGCCGGTGACTCTGATATCGAATCAATATCGTCCGATGAAGAGATATATTTACATCAAATTACACAACATGATGCTGAACCAGTCGATGAAAATTATCCACCTACTGCTGATGGAATTGCTCAAGCCGCCGCTGATAATGAAGATGATGAAAAAATGGAATTAGAATTGGCAATAACAACAGCTCATGGGATTGATGATGAATTAGTCGGTAATGGTCATGCAGCAGCAAATTATGGTGATGTAGAGGGAACGGTTGACATAGTTCAGCTAGTTCCTGATCCAACAGATCAACAACCACCGCAACGAAAAAAGAAGATTAGATCAACTGAAGCACAGAAGAAACACAACAAGAAAAGAAACGATCATCTTCGGCTATTCCGGTATCGATATGTTTTGAAAAGATCTTATTATTATCGTTTCAGATTGAAATTGATCCGGAAAATACTTCGTCATTATGGTGTGCTGTTTCGTCATGTCAAACTCCACGGTGATCAAGTTATTATTGGTGTTAAATGTGCTCAAGATCGTGAACAATATGAAGATGCTTTACCATCGTACTGTTTCGACAGGAAGAATTACTGGCGATTCAAGAAGTGAACTCTTTTCTTTTTTTCTCTCGTCTTGGTCGTTTATTTATTTTCTTCTCTTTCGTTTTTTTTGTGATAATCACTCGTATGTCTCTCTCTCTTCATCTAGTGGTGATATTATGACAAGTTCAGATATTTTTTCGTTATATTCTAGTTTTGTGTTAATTTTTTTCTCTTTTTCCTCAAGGGGAAGGGTGTTATGATACGAGGTATCATGACATCTATTTTCCTGACTATTTCTTTCTCATTTCTTTGTTGCCGGTTCTATATATGTTGTGAAATAAATCGAACTAGTCAGTTATGCTTCGATAGTAACATCGAACACACGTCTCTTTCTTTTCACTCTCGAACATCGAGCATAACAAATACAACCTACGAACGGCGATCCTTTCAACGCAGACCCATTTCACAAGGTATTTCCCCTTTTATCTACATTTTCTAGCACACTGCATCACAATGAGCAGGTAGAAATCGTTTGCCACCACACGATCCATATGTACGAATACCAAGAATAGTACAAACGACACGAATCGGTATCGTTTTATACACTAAAAAAAGGCTCTTCCATCAAACACCTCCAATATCATCATAAAAATTTTTTTCGTCAGCAGTTTTTCTTCATTTAGGTCCAATCGAAGCAACGACACGAACCAGAGATGGTCGACATCGTTTCAAATGAGCAGATGTGCTGTTCGATGCTGTTGGAATCATCTAAACGGTCGAAATTCACTTTTTCATGTCAGCTGTGTAACGTAGGTTATACCATGCAGTTCACATGCGAAGAGAAATTTTTTTCATTAGCCATTTTTCTTGATTTAGGTCCAATCGAAGCAACGACACGAACCAGATATGGTCGACATCATTTCAAATGAGCAGATGTGCAGGTGGATGCTATTGGAATCGTCTAAACGATCGAAATTCGCTTTTTCATGTCAGCTGTGTAGCGTATGTTTCATCATGTAACTTAGAGAGAGAAAAAATTTTTTCCGCGAACAGTTTTTGCTTGTTTCGGTGCAATTGGCTGAACAATATGGAATCGAGCAGTCAGATATTGTTCGAAATCAGTAGTTATGAGAGTAGTTAGAGAACATTTCGAAAAAATTATGGGTTTCGTGTTGTCGCTTAAATGTTGTGTATGATATGTATGTGTTTGTGAATTATTTTTTGGATTTGTTCTGGGAAGTTTTTCTGGGGTAATTTCGCCAAGTATGTTGAGCTGTTGGAGTCTGTTGTTTGGCATTTTAGTCCTGACTGATGCTGTTTTAGGTATGTTATGGAAGGCTCCCACGGTGTTTCAAGTTTGGGCATTGTTGAGGTAGACGAAAACAGAAGAGCTGGTTTATTGAAAAAAAGCATACAAGTACGTGTTTAACTGATTTTTGCACTAAGAGATGTGTTTATTTTTTAAGCTGGTTTATGCATTATTGAGGTTGGCTGTGTGAGGACGGGTGATGGTCGACGTTTTTGTTGGAATCGGCAGCATTGGGGACATTTTCTCGAGCTACATTGTCCATGTAGGGAACAAATGCAGGGACCTGTTTAATGAGAAAAGGTTTGTATGCGATTTCATTATTTAAAGTGTTTTAGCAATGTGCTTACAGTGTCACGGATGAGGAAGTCCGTCTGGACTATATCGCATTGTGAGATCCAAAGGTCGCAAAAAATTGGGGGCCAAAAAATCGTAAATTTGTTCTCGTGTTGTTGATTTTTTAAGTCTATAAATGATAGTATAGTCTACTAGGTTTTTCTCTCAACGTTTTTTCTTACAGCTAGCAACAACATTACTGGTTCGGTAAACTGGTTGTCTACCGTAGCGACCAACCAGATAAACAGGACCAGCTCCGCCCCGGTCATCACTAAAGTTAGCCAGCCATACGGGTGGTGTTACCGGCTCGGCTGCGTTACTTTTGAGGTGGCCAAAGTGAAGTTGATTGCTATTCTTCATGCTGTTGATGTACTCGGGACTGTAAGCCATAATAAATGTTGTGTAGAGTGCGAAATGTTAAAATTTTGTTGAAAGAAGTGCGAATCGTGAGAAAGAGTGGAGCTTCTCTCTCTATTTATAGATTCGTCTCTCTTCCGCCTAATTATCCCTGCTTTCCTTCTCATATCAGAACAAATAAACAGTTTAGATTGGCATCAATGAGTTCACACAGTGTATGGAAAGCAGAGAGTTTATCCATTTACAATTTTTTTTCAATTGTGATGATGTCTAGTTTGAAATGTAATTGTCAGTTTCGAGCTTATGCTTTGAATAACATCTGTTCGACAGACAGCTAATTTCACTAGGTGATTGTTTATATTTTATTCGAAGGAACGAGCAATGCTCTATTCGAACTTTTTGAAAACGAAGACAAGTACTACAGATCAATGCATGCATGAATTAATGAAATTTCTAAATTCAAGACTACTGTTAAAAGAAAAGAAAAGGAAGAAATATTGTTTGAAAGACTTGAATGAAAAT